AAGCAGTGTTTGGGCTCATTCCCTGGGCAATACTAAGACACTCTTTATGGGAAAACTAGGGGATGTTCCCCAAAGTGGAGGTGTTCTATAGGCAGTGTGCATGATCTCATCTGGTATTTGTAATGTGACTAAAATCTGAGCTCTAGCTAGATAATCATCAACATCTGGTTGAAAACAATAAAATGTCCACCATGCTAATTATTATGCTAATTATTAAAAAAGAGCAGGCTCAGGGATTCCCTACCATTTTCTGCCCTAAAACACTTGAAGGTTACCCTGTTGTCCAACTTACCAGTGGCTTCCTGGGGGAACAGGACAGGAGGGGATCTCAGCCCTTGGGTGTGGGTGGGACAGACGCCATCTGAAAAAGCCCTCTGGGTGATTCTCCTACCCTCTCCTGGAAGTCATGATTCCCCCCTTCCCCAGCAGAAAAATCCCTGCACATATCAATTTTATTCAATTTACATTTTAAAAAGATCTGAGGAAAGCAAATCAGTGATTCCCTGGAGCTAAGAGTGGGAGGGACTTGTAAATGGGCACAGAGGACATTTTCTGGGACAGTGGAAGTCTTCCAAAACTGGTTTACAGTGACAGTTGCACAACTGTGTTAGGAAGACTCACCCAACTCTACATTGAACCTGGGTGAATTTTATGGTATGCAAATGATACCCCACCAAAGCTGCTAAAAAGTGGATCAACAATCTGTATGTGTAGCCAGAACATCCACACCAGCTCACCTTCTCCACCCACCTTCTCTGCATTCCCACATTCCCTGTTATCTTGATGAATGGGTGTCACAGCCACGCTGAGCGTCCACCATCTTTTGTCTTCCCCACCTACATCTGACCAGTTCTACCTCTTAAATATCTCAGGAATCTGTTCACTTCTCCCTATCCCTCATGCCACTACCTGCTTGGTCAGGCTGTCACAGTTTCTCCTGAAAGGTGGCGATGGCCTCCTGATGCTGGCCCTGCCCTCACCTCTCGGTGCACTTTCTCCTCTAGGAAACTCCTTCACCTGGGACAAAACTCCAGCTCCTCAGCAGGGCACAGTTTACAAGACCCATGACCCAACATCTGTTTATTTGCCTAGGCTTACCACTTGGCAAACCAAATGTAAAGCCGTATTGACCTACTTAGCTGTATCTATTCCCTGGAACAAGATAAGGTTTCCTTCCCGCCATTGCTCACACAGCATTCTCTCTACCCACGACTCTAACAGAGACAGGTGTTTGCTTCTCAGTGGTTCCTCTTCTTCTTTGGTAACCACACTGGCTGTTACCTGGCATACTGCCATGCAAAGACCTCTTTCCCTAGCCTCCCTTACAGCTTTGTGGAACAACATAATAAGTTTTTTTGATGAGAAAAGCATGACATAACAGAAGTTCTTCTTACAAAAGAATTATTTCCTTCCCTTCCACATTTATGCTGCTTGGAATGAAGATGTCATGGCTAGAGTACTTGCAGCCATTCTGGATCAAGAGGTAACCTGGGAGGATGGAAGCTATGCATGACCGTGCAACAAGATAGTGGGTCTTGGGTTGCTGACACTATAAAGCCTCCATATCACCTCTGTACTTTGATTATGTGAGAAAAATCAGCTTTCACACTAATCATTTTATTTTAGATCCTTATTATTTGTAGACAAATAAGATCCTAACTTCAATGAAAAGAGTTCTTTCATGCGCCATTTTAACTGGTTGACTTTATCTTCTCTCCATCTAACCCTTGTGTTTCCTATAACATTCAGTTGAAGGGTCACCAACTTTGGGAAGCCATTCTGGTCTCCCAAAGGCAGGTCAAAGGCCCTCCTTTGACTTCTAGAGCACCCCCACCCCCAGCGCTTCTTCCCATCAGGCACTGTGTTATGAATCAAATCTGACCACATTTTGCCCATATCATCACATTCCCTACAGGAACAGGAGGCCCCTTCCTTCCTTTTTGTATGCCCTGCACCAGGCATTGTGCCTGGCACAACAGGTTCTCAATGCATTTGCTGGATAAGAAACTGTGTTTAACACCCAAGTGATTAACCCAGGTGGAAAAATCATGCTGCAACCTTGAAAGGGAGCCAAGTGAGCAATCACAGCATTTCAGTTTTATGTCAACTCCACCCCTCAATGTATCTGTAAAGGACAGATCCACATCGATTACATATATTAATAATTGTCACAGAGACAATAAAAACTTCCCATGCGATAGCAAGAAACATGAATTGGTAAAAGGTTAAATAACTCAAAATTTTTCTCTCACTGCACTTAAGAACATACTGCAAATTTACTAAACCAAGGAGGAAAATACCAAGAACACAAAAAGAGAAAATGACTCCTCTATGATGACTTAGGGAAAAAAATAAAATAAATGTTCTGACTGGTAAGTACATTGATTTGAAATAGATTCCCGTCTAGTGACAGATGCCACCTACCTGAAGGTGCATTGTGCTCACAGATTTCAGTATGCCAGGTTGGATACTTAAACCATTATTTTGGGTTTCATGATCCAACAAGCCATGGGAACCAAAGTGGAAATTCAAGATCTTAAAGCTCAAATGAATCTCAGACGGAGGGAAGGGGTTACAAATAGGAGTAATTGTGAAATAAAATTGAAAGCTGAATCCGAGTCAGGTTGAAGTTGGGGGTGGACAATACCCCAAAGGAATGTGGAAAAGACACAGCTTCTGAGAATGAAAAGCAACAGCTCAAAACTTGTTCTGGGCATCACCACAACCGATTTCAAAGGCACAGCAGTGTTTACAGTAAGGGTGATCTCATCTGGAAGTGTCTGTTGATACTGACTTGGATTGCATGGGAAAGCATTTTCGTTCCTTGCAGGATTTCAGCATCCACGTCATGAGCATGAGCGAATGTCTTGCATGTGAGTCTAAATTGTGATATTTTAATGTGCCTAACCTCTGATAAAATCATGCAAGGTGTCGCAGCAGGAAACTGAACCCCAGGGAGGCTATTAGCAATTTAGCATCTCATTTCACATGGGAATGTAAATGCCACTGTACTCCCTGTACTCATAGACTCAAGTAGCGACAATGGTGCTCCATGCCACACTGGGTTCTATATTTTCAATTCACCCACCTGCATTATTTGACTTTTCACTTCCTCCTCCATCTCTTTCCCTCCTGGGACTCTCCAAGTAGCAGAGGTCTCTCAGAGGGCTTGTTAAGAGAGGGTGCGAACGAAGGTGTGTGACTAGCAGCTCTGTATGCTGAAGATATAGGAGAAGCCATTTAGGAATGAACATTGCCTCTTCACAGGCTCAGGGATAGGGTAGGGTATGGAGTTGGGCGTGGGGTAAAATTAAACTCTGAGCTAAAGTGTCAAAGATTCTGTAATTCTTGGGGTATTTGCCTCCAGATGTTGGGGGTGGGTAGCAATAATAACTTGCTCAACACCTACCCCTGGCCCCAGACAACTGAAAACCTCAGACTTAGAAAAGGAGAGATGGGGGCAGCCAGTTCAGGGGACATATATCACAGAAGCTCTGAAGCAGCATCTTCAATCCTTTTGGTTCTTAGGATGTGATTGTTAATTCCATCACGCTTGCAAACCACCAGAAAACCAACACACTTCACTTACTTGGACTAATAAGGAGAAAATGATTCGGAATCAGTGAAAAGCTTGAAGGTATCGGTGCCATAGTATATTTATTTAAAGAAACATTCTTTACTCACGAGGGCAATGAAAAACACCTATTGCAGTTAGGTGATTATAGATAACGATAAGGCACTAAATATTTCAAAAATCTAGAAGAAAGGATTTTGAATAGTTTACCACAAAGCAGTAATAAATGTTTGAGGAGACAGATAAGCCTACCCTGTTTGAACATCACACAATATATACATGTATCAAAACATCACATGGTACCCATAAATGTTTATAATTTTTATGTGCCAATTTAAAAAAAGAACCAAGCAAAACTCAGAAAAAAGTAATGTATTTTGTAAGAAATAATGAGAATAGCTGTAGTAAACTTTATTTTTTTTTTTTGCATCACAAAGTTCTGATCTTTTATCTTAGTTCCTATTAAAATATTAAAGATCCTACAGTCTTTAAAAATTTAATTTGAATTGGAAGGCAGAGGCCCTGTTAATTAGCACAGTGGCCTTGTCCCTAATAAATATAAATATATGTATATATTTATTTTTAATTTTATTTATGTATGTATGTATGTATGTATGTATGTATGTAACTGGGGTGTTTTGTCACTGAATTACAATTTTATTTTTATTTTGAGACAGGTTCTTGCTAAATTGCTGAAGGCCTGTTAAGCTGCCCAGGTTGACCTCCAACTTGTGATCCTTCTGTCTCAGCCTCCTAAATCACTGGATTACAGGCATGCACCGCAACACCCAGCTGTCCACTAATATTAACAGCAATACTAGGACACATAAGCAAGCCTGGTGTCATCATGTGGCTTTCATAAATTATATATCTTTTTCACAATAAAATAAAATACAGTAAAATAGACTTTGATCCCATTTTACAGACTGGGAAACTGAGAAGAAAATTAAGATTACACAGCTAGCCAGTGGTGGAGCTGGAGTTTGTACCTACTTAGAAAGTTACATCTGTTCACCTGGATGCTGGCTTCCCCACTCAGCACTCAAAACCTCAACTTTAATGACCTTTGTTTCTCACCTGATAGATAAGGTTTAGGCCTAAACAGTCTCTGTGTCACCTGCTGCTATAAAATATTCAACTTCCTAGTTCCTGGATAGATCCAGCCTTGGTTGCTAATTGGAGGTGTTTTTGAAGAGTCATTTCATCATACATAGGGATCGATATTATAATTTATAATAAAATGTTTGTGTTTGTAAATGTGTGCTTCTAAATGCCAGACATCCCTGAGAGGAGGTTGGTCTTCCTGACATCTTGTTCACACTATTAATTTGTTTGGTAAACCTTTTTTAACGGAGGGAAAAAAAAAAGAATCTGCCGTGGCCTCTGTTTATTCTAGGGTCAATAACATCAGTATTGCTTGGTAACTCATAGAAGGACACATTTCTGCGGCTGGCTCCAGACCTGCTGAACAGAAAGAGGTATGTAGGGGGCCTCAGCATTCTGAATTTGAACAAACCCCTTCCTTCAGAGCCTTCTAATGCACACTCAAAAAAAGTTTAGGGATGCTGGTTTAGGATCACCAATTTCCACCTTGGGGCACCTGAGTGAATGAGGTGTTCCTAAAATGTTGACTGGGAGCCAGGGTTAGCAGACCGGAAATCCATTAGATTAATAATAGAATGCCATTTTAAAATACTAAAGTATTTCTGGGTGCCATCTCCCTTGCAGGGGAGGACTGCAAAGAGAGGGACTTTCTAGTAGACTGGGAAGGCAGAGGGTGGGGTTCTGGCAGCCCGGGGATGGTGGGAAAAGAGGGGAGGAAGAGGGAGTAGGGAGCCCCGGGGCCTCACAACCCATCTGGTTGGAAACATCCCGCAGTGCCCCAGCCACAGGAGCCGGAGCCAATTACAAGTTTACATAATAGAACAAGTCTCCCGGGCCTCCCCTCCTCCGCCCCACCCCCGCCGGCTTTGGGGATGGGGCAGGAAACGCTTTCTCTGAAATTCAGGATCGATCTAGGATGGAAGGTGCCTTTTCTGGGTTTACATCTCGGGGCCAGTTCCCCATCTGAGAAACTTCTTGGGTCCTGCTTGGGTCCTTTGTGTTCTACAAACCTCCGGTGCCTCGCAGCCCTTTCTGCGCCCGGGAAAGGGGCCTCCACTTAAGTCCCGGAGCTAAAAGAGGAGGTGTCTGGGTCGGAGCGTTCACGCGGCTTCCCCGTGGCTCGGTGTGAACTCGAGGGCGTTTATGTAACTCCTGCCCTTCACGCAGGATCGTGTGACACACTGAATCACGGAGGAGGGGGGAGAGGAGGAAAGAGGCGGGGAGACAGGGGGCCCGTGACGCCCCGCCCACGTGACCCGTCAGATGCCAGCGTTCTAAGTTTGCACGGGCTCTTTTACCGTAAGGCTGAGGGCTTCTAATCAACATCGATTCGCAGCCATCCCTGAGTGACATTTGATATGAGCAACAGCTCAAGACTAGGAAATGGCAACGTGGATGATGATGGAGGAGTGGGGGCGGGGTGAGGGAACGCGGCTCCAGCCGCCTCTGATTTTGTTTGGAACCGGCAGGGGTTAGGCTGAGTCAAGGAAACCTACTGCAAAATTGTCAGGGAAGACAAGGTCTCTTCTCTAGAGGCCTTAAATTCCTCTGGACTGGAGGCAGAGACTCCTGGAAAGACAACAGCCCACTCAAGCTATGCTCCTTATTTGTGGATTGGTTTTAGAAGTTGCATGAGATCTGTCTGGACACCCCTTCAGGTTTAAAGTGCTAGTTCAGTGATCAGCTAGTTGCCTGTCACAACTTCCCTAGGCTCTAGCCTAAGGACCAGGGACCAGTTCCATCCCTCCCACCAGGGAATCTGTTAGGATGCAGAGTCTCTGCTGCATCTCGACCTCCAGGAGGAGATTGTACCTGGAGGATATGGCCAGGCCCCCAAGAACACAAGCTGTGGAGAAAAGTGTCCTGGCCACTGAGGGAAGGAGACTATCACAGACCTTATGTGTCCTCCTGCTGTATTCTGGAGTTCTGGGGGGCGTGAAAAGTCTTTGACTTTTTATTAGCTTAAGTATGGGAAGCTTACCTTCCAGACTCAACACAATGGGAATCAAAAAGGGCTGAATATGACACCCTTGACTATACCACTACCATGCCATAGCATCACAAGCACATCCAGCTGCCATGTGACTTATTTATTTAAAAAAAGTGGAAGGGGTTGGGGTGTAGCTCAGAAGTAGAGCTCTTGCTTAATATATGTGAGGCTCTGAACCCAGCACTGGAGCGGGGTGGGGGTGGGTGGGGGGGTGCCTGCTGGGAGAGAGGGTGGGGGGAGAAGGGAGGAAAGGAAGAAAGACAAGGTGGTTGTTAATAGTTAAATGAAACCAACAAACAAAAAGTCAGCTCCTTCCTTTCACTGGCAATAGTTAACTCCACAAGCAATTTCCTCACTTAAAAGAAAAACAAACGAAGTAGGGTGGTAGGCTTTTAAAAGAAGGAGTAGAGAGAGCTCTGGCAAGTGGAATCTGCCTTTATTTACTTTAGGGCCTTGTTAAGACACATTTGCCTTGAGATAAAAGGTTTTCTTTTGGGACAATCCCAAAATGACTTTGCTTGATTCAATTAAATAAGATCTAATGAAAGAGAAATCCAGCTTTGAGATAGGCATCATCTCACCAGGTGAGTTGTAAATACATTCTGACCAGGTTTAAGAGGCCAAGCTCTTGAAAATTTAATCTATTTTAAAAATGCATATCCTTGCCACAAATTGCTTTGAAGAAGATTGCTGCACTGATTGCATGCTGAGATAATTATTCTGTATCACCAGTTAGGGAACAAGATTTTTTTTGATAAATACTACAGTGTCAGTCTTTGTTAATGATTTGGGAGGGGAAGGAGAGAATCCCAGAAGGCTGAGGCTGGCTTTATTTGCCTGCTTCCTTTCTCTGAACTCAGGCTGTGGGAACTGGTAGAGTCTTGAACTTGAGCTTTGAACCTATTAAGTAACCTCTGCTCACCTGTCCAATCTCTAGTCCTCACGTGAAAGTGAGATTTATATACACCTGAGGTATACAGGTGGTACTGAGTCTTCACCCTCTTGTCCTTGAGACCAGGCTTTGTGATTCTGAGCAGTAGGATGCTCCTACTTTCCCTCTTTAAGGACTAGCTCCCTGGGGGCTCAAAGAGTGGGCTGAGGAATCCCTTCAGTGAATGAATCTATGCTAGTATGTTGCTGGGTAGTGATGAAGGAGAGCCCCACCCTTCCTTCCATTTTTGATAATGTGATAGGTCAGGGCTCACACATAGAGGGGCATATTTCTCCCAGTGTGTGGTCCCACTGAGCCTGGATATGACCTCACAATCTTTCTTAGAACTGCATTACGAATCCTTTCGTAGCTTCATTCTTCAAAAGCATTTATGAGGAACCCATTATAGGTCAAGTATTGATCTGATATAGATAGAGAAAGGCATATGATGGATGAATGGGAGCAAAAGCAAAGCTGTAAGCTATGAAATAAATGAAAATGGGCAATGGTTAGTGATTGGATAATGATTGGGAGGGGTAATTTTAGATTTGATAGTCAGGGTGAGCCTCTCCTTGGAGGTAACAGGAAGGTTTTCTCAAGAGCCACAGGGGAAAGCTGGTCAAAAGAACAATGAATACAAATGCCGTGGGGGCAGAAGTGAATTCAGCAAGGTTGAGGATCAGAGTCAGGAGTTGGACTGTGTGAATCACCCTTGAAGCAAGTTCTTGGCATTTATGGGGTTTCCTCTTGTGATCTCTAACTCCTGGTTTGTTAACTTTTCCTGACTGTGACCAAAATACCTGACAAGAACAAGTTAGAGGAGGAAAGATTTATTTTGGCTCATGGTTTCAAAGGATTCAGTCCCTGGTTGACTGGCTCCAAAGCAGAGATATTAGGGTGGAAGGGCACACTTCCAGGGCACGTCCCCAATGACCTACTTCCTCCAACTAGGTTCCACCTCCTAGTAGTTTGTCCAGCTATCAATGGATTAATCCACTGATGAGGTCAGAGCCTTTGTGGTCCAACCACTGCCGAAAGCTCCACTTCTGAACCTTGCGGTATTGGGGACACATGAATTTTTGTGGGGATGTTCCAGAAACAAACTATAGCACATATTTATTGGGCTGAGTGAGACTGGGACTCCCAGGTATGTAGAGTAGGGTCTGCAGCCCCATATGGCTGCTCACCTTCACCCAGATAGCATTTCTGGTGAAGGAATGGCCAGATGGCATTTCATGGGAGGTGTGTGAGGAAGAATTCTAGCATGATGGCCAGGAGAATGAGAAGATCCTCATTCAGATCACAGCTCTTTTTACTGACATTCTGAACAACAAATTATTTCACATATTCTATGCCTCAGTTTTCCCATGGAGGTAAAACTCTTCATAGGAGAGAAAACAATTCACTGAACAGCTAAGTCACCAAACAATTAATTCAGCAAATTTAGTAATTTACCAAAACATTAAACAGTTTTTCACATATTAAATGAATATGAATATTCTTCAAAAACATACACACACACACACACATATATGTATATATATATATATATATATATATATATAAAGTTAATTACAATCTATGTAGCACATTAATAGATTCCTCATGAATATTGCCATTTAGTTTAATCAAATAGAGAAAAGTATTAGGAAACAATTCCCTCCTCTATATGATTAAAACATTTCCAGCAATAATCATAAAGTGAAATGAATAACAAAAATGGTATGAAAAATGCAAACAATGAAAATTTCCTTAAATTTAATATTTGTTTATGTGATCTTTCAGTAAAAAAGAATAAAAGTAAAATGGATATTGTGCAAAAAAGGGAAAAATCTGATTATCATTTTTTATCTTCTTAAGATTAATAATCTTTATTTTGCATGGATAATTGTTCATTCTCTGAGTGAATCTTAATACAACCGAAATAATCTAAAAGAGGTAAATTTAGGCAAATACCATTTTTGTAACAATTTATTTCCTTGATTTATCCTTTTGTTTAAAGCAAACAACAATTAGAAAAGAATATATTTCAATGTCAAATTCAGTAAAATATTTCATGTATGTACTAGATAAAATTTGCACTCATGAAAAGAAAGTGTTATGCCTTGTACTTCTCACTGTTTAACTGTCTTAAATTTTAAAACACAAATAAAAGCTCATGTGGTTGCATAGAATGAGAGAATTGAAGTACCTCCAGTTCTGTTTTCCTTTTATATAATCAGTTTACTATCAGTGTTTACTTTGAATCTACACTTCAAAAGCAGGTATATGTCAATTGACAAAATCATGCTATGCACATATGTAAATATACCACAGTGAAGTCCACATTTATGTATAGCTATAAAGCATCACTTAGAAAAAAACAATAAATAAATAAAACGAAGAGCAGTAGAGGAAGGGGAACAGGGGAGGGAGGAGGGGAGGAAAAGAGGGACTGGGGACTGAAGGGAAGT